GCCGAGGTAAAAATGGTTCATTTCCTAATATTATCAATGTAGCTCAAATGTTGCTTTTTTTCTTTTTTCTTTTTTGGACTCAAATGTAGGAAACACACTCGAAAATTTATTATGAAAAGTAATAGTTCTTTTATCTAATTTTTTAAGATTGTAGCAATTCACACAACATTGAGAACGAAAGTCTTGATGAAAGTGAGCTCTATTGTAAAGCTTTGAGTTCAGTTCAGTTCAGAGTTAGCTCTGTAGTTTTAGGTTGCTTTTCTTAAATTGTGTAAATTGATTCCTGTTCAAAGGGGTTAGACTCCCATATATGCTCTATTCTTAAGGTGTCACAATTAAATTTCAACTCTTTTATTATTTTCTATCGTACTATTAAATTTCTTAAACTCTCCAGCGGCCAGCCTAATCTTTTTGTACATTAATTGAACTGTGGTAAACTTCTTAGCTTGGACAGGCTTGTGAGCTAAAACTTAACTGTGAATTGTCGTCGACTAAAAGCTTAAAATAATTGTTATAAGAAATTTTGTGCCTGTCTCATCATTAACCTTGTGACCTAGTTGTGGGGAGCCCTGAAAAGATGGTCCCTATTTATTTATTATGGCCTAATTTAGCTGTTAGTTTGCTTTCCTTTTTAGATTCTCCCGTGACAGATTTTGTGTTTTCTAGCATTCTGTATTGGTGTACCAACAACACTTTCTCTAATATTTACAATCGTTGGTTAATAGATTCTGTCATCTTCTTTTATTTATTCATTTTCCTTATTCGATTTTATTTTTGTCTAATTTTCCCTTTCTATCTCATATACTCAAAAAGTTGCAGTTTTTGTCTTTCATGTCAAATGGTACTTTCCCCTCTGATGGAAGTTCTCAAAAATGGCAAGGTATGATGTATCCGGAATTGGGATAAACCTTAGGGAAATTCCTGACAACAATGGTGCAGTCAGGTTGAAGGTATTAGGGATCATCTTAGATGGTCCTGCTCATTCAGCTGGTGTGAGACAGGTGCCTATTAATGTTAATTATGCTTCTTTTTTCCTGTGAAACGACTATTCCCTTATGAACTATTTTATTGTTTATTTTTGTCAACATATATGTTGGTGTACTGTTTAACAGTGACATGCTTCAGTAAGGAATTTTATTTCAGTTAACTTAAATCAACATCATCCACTGTTGTCTCCAATCTCATTTGTCAGCTAGCTGTAATACCAACAAATTATGGAAGACTATGTAGCAATGACATGGTTATTGGGCAACACCATGTTGGTACAAAGGAGTACCAAAAACTGAGAATACAAAAAAAGAAAAGTTTTAAAACTTGATTAAATGAAATTTGAATTTCTAATATTTATTACTTATTAAATTTGAAAAATACAGAAAAAGAGAAGTAGCAAATATGATATGGGAAAAAGTGTAATGAACAATGACCAAACAATTAGAAAGCATTGTTTCAAATATCACTGAAAGATCCTTTTAAAAGGCTTTTTTGCAAAATGATATTGTCTCAATATTCTTTACCACTTTTTGGTAAATTTTCAGCAATATATTCTTGACATGGCTGACATATCAGCCGATATGTCCTTTTATGTGGCTTGATGCAAAATAATATTGTTCGCAAAATTTCTTTAATGTTTGTTGGCAAAAATTTCAGCCCTATGTTTTTTTAGCAAATTTCTAGTAGGACTTTTCCCTAGTTTTTACAATTGGTTAGCGATCATAAACATATATTATTTACATTGTTGTATGCATAAATTTCATTAATTATTTTAGATAATATTTTAAATCATCATAATACATCACGTCATCCGATGTAGCACTCTGATTTTTACTAATATATCCTCGATATTTTCTTGATATTCGCAATCATATATGAATTTTGGATGTCTGATATTTCCGTGATATGCGATATTTAAAACCTTGCTAGCAAGTAATTTACTAGGCAAATATATGAAAAGGAGTACCAAAAATCTAGAACACACAAAAAAACAATGTTTTAAAACTTGATTAAATGAAATTGATTTTTTAATATTTATTAATTATTAACTATGAAAAATGTAAAAAAGTAGAAGTAACAAATATGAGATAAGAGAAAAGTGCACTGAACAGTGACCAAACAACTAGCAAGCAATTTATTACTCAAAAATAAATAAATTCACTAGCTTTAGTCATAAAAAGTTCACTAGGAGGGAGAGTAGGAGGTTGTCATATTGAATTGGGAGGGAGATTGGGGAGGTGGCCATTTAGAGTTTGGAATCTAAGATTGGAAGTGGATTTATCATTAGTGTGTTTTAATTTATATTGATTTAAGTTAAATTATTTTGGAGGGAGTAGGGGGTGGGTTGGAGAGGGCAGTTGTAATGCGTTGGTTTGACCTAAATCATATATAATTGGTGCGCACATAATATTTTATGCGGATGTGTTCTCAAACTTACCCCTCATTATGTGGTTTGATCGCATAATAGGGTGAGTTTGCTTGATTCCAATTGGAAATAAGTTGCCTCCTATTATGCAGCCACGTGAAACATGTTTTTTGAACTATTTATATTTGAAGTGATGAGCTATGTTACCTAGGTACTCTGATATGAAGCCGTACCTATACCCAAACTACTTGGACACTCCTTGCATATACGTATACATTTATTCTGGAATGTACTCAATTATACAATACATGTTTTAGTTTAAAACTATCGTTGTGCAAATCCCCGGACCCCCCTCGAACTATCGTACAGTTCCTGCAAACCGATTCTTGGTAGGCTAGTCACTAGTGGTGAGACCTCCTTGCTAATTTGTGTCTTACCACTTCTATCTCTTGACAATTCATTTTCCTTCACGAACCATCAACTCATGCCCAATATCTTTTCTATGTATCCATACTATTTATTTAAGAAAATCCCCAATTGGCATGTGTATCACATTACTTGAAATTTTAGAAATGCATTCACACTTCGAAAAATCAAAGAAAATACTCTCACAACTTGGAGAAATCTACGTAAGGGCCTTCACATTTTGAAAAATCAAAGGAAACCTCATCTCAGTATTGCATAAATATAAGTAAATGTCCTCACACTTGAAAAATCAACAAAAATATCCTCGCACTCAGAAATCAGTGGGAAATGTTCTCGCACTCAGAGAACTCAACACAAACTTCCTCACATGGAAAACTCAATAGGAAAGCCCTAACAGTAAGAAAAATCCAATAAAAACAACAACAAACCATTCATTCCCTTCATAATTCGACGAAACCACTCCCCCACGTTCTTTGTCATTCGAGTATCATGTGCACTAGAATACTTACATATGAACCAATGAATGTGTATCCATGCGTATACTATAGAAAGACATGGACTTGATAACAAATAAATCCTAAAGGTCTAGGATATGAAGCATCAAAGAGAGAATACAAAATTAAAAATTTGCTGTAACATTTCCATCATAAGTAGTAAACAAAGGTTCTTTTTTGTTTCAATACAAACAGACAAAAATTTCTTTTCTTTGTAAGAGCCTACAAACAACCTTCAAAATTTAAACATTTCGTGCATTTGAGTGATTAGCTAGGGTATTATTTTGTCTCCCCCTTTTTTAGTCTTTCTTTTGTTAACTAATAGAGGAGATCCCATTGACAGCTATGACTGGGGACAAAAGGTCCATGCAACTTTGCACCAAGATTTAGGAAATTTTTTTCACTATTGTTTTCAGATCTTTTATGGAGGACCTTAATGCATTATGATTCGTGTCTTATGTTCAAGGAAATCTAAACTTTGTATTTGCATAAATTTTATAGTTTTAAACTTTTAATTTAGGGTAAGTTTCATTAAAACTATCATAAACTCTTAGAAGTTTTGCACGAAGGCCGAAACTATTGTAAAATTTTTTATTCGAGAAAACTACCTTGAAATTCTTTCACTAAACTATCATGCGTTATGGTTATGAAGGATAAGTTGTCACGTGCATTGGACGTGACAAGTTTGGACAATTTTTTAGTTATGTACTTTTAGATTTTACAATGTACCTCTTTACTATTTTTCAAGAATACTTTAGATCTTTTATACAATACATTAATGCTATTAATTAACAATTTCTAGTAGTTCATGGTATTTTTCTGTAGTTTTAAAAATTCATGGTAGTTTTCTTCAATAAAGAAGTTTATGGTAGTTTCTGCAAAACCTACAAAATGAATGGTAGGATTGTGAAATTTACTTGTTGTATATCATCTATATTACCGTCTACCTCGCCTATTTTCAATGATAGTTTAGATCTCTTATTCAATTTATTAACGCTGTTATCACCGATTAGCAATAGTTAATGGTATTTTTTTCTAGAATTTTAAAAATTCATAGTAGTTTTTCTGTTATCACCGATTAGCAATAGTTAATGGTATTTTTTTCTAGAATTTTAAAAATTCATAGTAGTTTTTCTCTAATGAAAAAAGTTTATGGTAGTTCGTGCAAAACTGGTAGTCTTGTGAAATTTACCCTTCGATATAAGAGATCAAAGAACACGCTTATTCTTATGTCCAGAGCATAATGCAGAAGTATACACTATCCACCTGTATCAAAGAGCATATTGCTTCCGAGGAGTTCTAAATAATGTTAAGAATTGAAGTTATATTATCATGGAGCATCATTTTCAAAGTGTAATCAATTGAGGACACAAGAGATGCTTCTTACAAGTATCCAATGACTACACAAAATATCTTGTGATAGATATATTTTGCAATGCGACCTTGTAACATATACACATAGCTTAGTGGATGGTCTACTTTTAATGGATCAAAGGAGCAACGAGATCATCAGAAATGGAATGGATGTTTGCTTGTAGTCATGCTTTTCTCCATATGATATATAAAATTTTTAGTTCTAAATAACATTTCTTATGGATGCTATAGTTAGTGAATTTCATTAGAATGTTACTCCCTCATGAGGATATTTTCTTTAATGCTTTGTCTCACACCTTCACCTTTATAAATGCTGCCACACTTATTTGGAATTGCTTTATTGACGAGGCATTCTGGCATAAACATGGCATGGAGTGTTAGGTGAGTGCTAACTCTTGAAGCTCTTGTACGTAGGTCACACTTGTTCTATTATTTTTTTCAGGATTTGCTTGTGTTGCTATTATCGTGTCCATATGTCTGTGTATGTTGGTACAAGTATGTCTATATCCCGCTATTTGGTATCTTGTTTGTTAGATAATGTTATATGTTTAACTATTTAAGTATTTGGTTATTGGGCATATGTAATGCTCTAATCTCTATTTAAGAGAGATTAGAGTTAGATGAAATATTGCCTTTTTAATTTCTCTACATGGTAACCAAGACGATATCTCGATCTTAAAGAACTTCTCTTTTAAGATCTTAGGACTTCTGAGGGGGTTTTTGTTGCAAGCACGACCTCCATGCCTCCTCTTGGTGGCTTTAGCAACCTTAACTTTAACAACCTCAGTCAAGAACCCTACCCTTTAGAAAAACCTTTTAAAGAACTGCTATTGTTCATCGTGGCACTATTGGCGATGAAGAGTAATCGTGATAATGTTCAATGTGAACGGTATAACTCTTGTATATTTCGCTGATTGCCTTCAACAACTTCAAATCTGATCCGAATAGATCTACATCAATGGGTTTATATTGCACATACATTAAATATGTGTAACATCGAATCAAATTCGTCTTTGACAGAGCCGTTCTAGAACTTTTTGGTCCTTTCCTTCTACAGATCAATCTAAGCTTTGTCTAGTCTGTGCCTTCTACCAATTGGGCGCCACTTCAATCACTCAAGCACAAATCTCCAACATTCTCTAACTGGCCTATTGGCTGACCCGTGTAAAGTTTGAACTGGCTACCCGTCTAGGATTTCTACTAACTTTCTCGCCTAGGATTTCTACTAGCTTATTTGCCTAGGATTTCTACTAGCTGTCCGCCTAGGGTTTTTACTGGGTTACCCATCAAGTGTTTCACTAGCTTACCTACCTAGGGTTACTTCTCCCCTCGATATGTTCTTATATTGAGAGTCTTCTATTCTGGTTGGCTGATTATCTACTTATCATAAAAATGAGGATTTAGTTGTGATTTTTGTGTGACACTCTTTTGGCTGTTGGCTTATGCCCGAGTTATATCTAGCCATGAATATGATTATACTTTTTGGTTGCTACTTTGTGAGATTTATTTCTTGCTTGATGGTTACTTCGAATGAAGCAAACAAATATATGATATTCTTCAACTGCTCAGGACAGAGTTAACTTGATGAAAACTCTTCTAAGTAGTTATTTTGTTCTCATATGTAACAAGTTGGTCATATATAATATATATGCTCTAGCTTAATGGGGAGTGTTAGATGATGTAATATGTTTAACTATTTAGGTATTTGAGTAATTGGGGATATGTAACCCTTCTAATCTCTATTTAAGAAAGATTAGAGTTAGATGAAATAATATCTTTGTTTTTTCTATTTCTCCACATCGTTCATTTAAATTTGTCAATTTTAGTGCAATTTAGTTATTGGGTTAGTTGGAATAGACTCATCTTGATTACTATCCAGTTGTATACCTATATACTAAACTCCTCTACTCAATGTAGTTGGAATAGACTCATCTTGATTACTATCCAGTTGTATACCTATATACTAAACTCCTCTACTCAATGGCATTTTATCTTAGTATTTCATAACATGGTATCAGAGCCAGAGTACTTTCTTGAAATTGGAGTTGCTTATCAGAAACTTGGTTACTTCTCTCCTAGAGGAAGCATGCATTAGATCTTCTCGAGGAGGCTAGTCTTTAGGGTTACAAATTGGTTGACACTCTGATGGAAGCAGATGTGAATTTTTAGGATGAGGAATAAAATCTTTTTGAGGACACTAGGCAGTATAGGAGGTTGATTAGCAAATTAATCTTATAGTCACTCGACCTGATATATATTTTGCTGCTGGATTTTTGAGTCAGTTCATGCACATGCCTAGAGAGGTTTACTGGAGGGCAACCATGAGGATCCTTGCCTATATGACTATATCAAAAACTCTCCTGGAAAGGGATTACTGTACAAGAGCAATGATGCATACTACTTGTGAGGTGATATGGTCGAAGAATTTGATGACAAAGCTTAGTTTTGTTTACCCAGGACCGATGCCCATGAATTGTGATAAACAATACCTATTTTTCATTGAAAACAAAGCACGTAGCTATTGATTGTCATCTGATTAGGGATGCTATAATGAAGGGGGTGATTTGCACTCCGTTTACTTCTTCTTCAAAATGGTTGGCAGATATTTTCACCAAGGTTGCTTCTTCTAAGGTGGTATTTTTTGAGTGTAGCAAGCTAGTCATGATAGATATCTACGCTCTAGCTTGAGGGGGAGTGTTAGTTTTAGAGTAGTTTACTTATTGGGTTAGTGATTTTAGACTTGTCTTAGTTACTTGTCTTAATTACTATCCAGTTGTATTTTTATATACTACACTCCTCTACTCATAATATTTTATCCCAGTATTTCAGAACAAAATTATATAGTTTTTTTGAGAGGTATTTAGTCATTTGTTGCTTATGAACTTTATATTATCTTAAGGGGGATGAACTCTTGTCTGTAAACGGAGTTGATGTCAAGGGGAAATCGGCATTTGATGTTTCCACTATGCTACAAGGCCCGAAGGAAACATTTGTTACTATTGAGGTTGTGCTCTCAAAAATAACTAATGAATGAAAAGTTTGATGGTATGTTGATTTCCATTCACTGCTCAGACCGTCTGTTGTAATATGTAAAATGCAGGTGAAACATGGAACTTGTGGTCCAACTCAAAGCATTAAAGTCCAAAGGCAATCAATTGCTCGAACTCCAATATTTTATCGTTTAGAAAAGATGGAGAATGGAAATGTTTCAGTTGGATACATACATATCAAAGAGTTCAATGCATTGGCTAGAAAAGACTTGATTACTGGTACATTTGCTTTATTTCCATATCCGTTCAATGCATACATATTAACTTTGGGAAGAAATGTTAATTTTTCTGTAGATATTACATTGATACAATTCGAATAGTAATAATGTGCACACCATTAATTTAATATTCACTTTATGCCACACGTAAATTCTTCTAATTATTGGACACCTACATTTAAGACTGTTTCCAATATCCATAGGATCTGCTACAACACTGATCTATCCCTTTTTGAACTTCCTAATCCACTGTAATAACAAAGGCAATAAACTGTTTAGATAATGGTTTGCTACATAAAAAAAATTCATTTAATCATCATGCACATAATCTATTGATGTTAAACATGGGTGAAAACTGAAGATTCTTTTTAGATGCTAAACTTAATAAAAGAATAATTTGTAGACAGGTGAATGACAGACATTGGAAGAGTCTACGGGCGTCAGAATGTTGATAGAAAACATAAAAATTAGATCAAACTCCTTTTTGATATTTACCTCATCTCGCAAGCAAACAAATTTCCTCAATAAAGAAGATACTTTCCAGAGATGGAAGGAGAAACTGATGCCGATGATTTCTTTCTTTGTTGGTGCCATTTCGTCATGGTCTCTCAGTATCTTGCGTGATGTGACTAAAGAAAAGTGTCGTCGTCATAAAAACATTTCAACGAGGATGATGGTGTAATACTTGGGCATGACCAAGATTCTGGTATGGGCATGTCTCTAGTGGCCATTGAAAGATGTGGAGTCAGTATTTATGATGAAGGCTGCAAAGCATGAGGAGGCAGGAGGGTCAGTTTGTATTGATTGATGAAATTAGGATCTTCAGTGATGGAGTTCGAGGTACCTGGAGTTTACACATGCATCAAGGAGATGGTGGGAGTTTCATGAGAAGTTTTAAGAGTATGTCTCTGATTGGATCATGTGGAAAATCCTCCATCAGATTCTTCATTTTTCTACAGAGCGTAGAAATATTATTAATAATGCTTGAAATTTCCAAAAAAAATATATATATATATATATAGAACGAGAGAGAGAGAGAGAGAGAGAGAGAGAGAGAGAGAGAGAGAGAGAGAGAGAGAGAGAGAGAGAGGTAAACAGTTGGACTATAGTAGAATTGCAAATGTAAAAACTCACTTGGAATGATACCAACCAATGGTTGCATTGGCCAAGTTGGACCAAGTTTCACTTGAAAACTGGTTAGGTTGAAACTGAACTCAACTTGAGATGCATGATTTGTAGAGCAAAGGTTGAGTTTCCCATGTTGGACCCAGGCTCACGTGAAAGATAGTTCTATTCGGGTTAGGGTTGAAACTGAACTCATGTTGACGTGCCTGGTTTGCACAATGACAGCTGAAGAATCTTGCATCTTTAGAGGAGTGTTGGGATTTGTAGTTGGTTTGGAAGCGGCAACTTGTGACTAAATAAGTTCAAGAATATTATTCTTGTCCTGTTGTGTATAGTTTTTATTAGAGACTTATCCAAGCAGATGCTTATTTAAAGCACATGGTAGATGTGTTAGCATAAATATTAAGAAGGATAACTCTGACACATGGAAGCCCTATTGTTGGATGTTGGGCCTTGGGTGAGAGGTAGTCATATATTTAGGATGGTCGATTTTTCCTTCCCAGATTATCGGCTATAACTTGAAATGAGTAGACATATTGAACGATGAGAATGCAACATAGATATTTTTATTAGTGACTGATCTTTTTTCAGCTTTATTGAATAATCAGCATTGTGTCTTGCATTCTAGCCTTTGCTTCCTGAATCATCATTAATCATCTTTACATAATAACAATAGGAGACTATTTACAAATTGCAGCGCTGAGACGCCTTCAAGAATCTGGTGCTTCTTACTTTGTTTTGGATCTCAAAGATAATCTTGGTGGACTCGTGCAGGTATGTTAGGATCTTATTATTTGCTTCGTTCACAGTTCAGACTAGATACATTTATATAAGTCCAACTATCAGAAATATCCTTCCTTTTACTTTCCTAGTGCATTGAATTGTTTAATATGATATTGTAAGTGTAATTATTGGCTTTTGATCCAATAATATGTAAGTTAATGAAGATAACCAATTATGGCTGTGACAGATGCATAACACTGCAAAAGAAAGCATATGCTTTGAAGTTTATTTGGAAAAATGAATGTGGTAGTTGTGGGCCTTACTGCTCCCTGTTGTCTACTGGATGATTTACTTCACTCAGAGTTCATGTTTCCATTAGTTGTCTGTTTTTCACTAATACAGCTTCTGTGAAAGATATAAGCTGGCAAGTTTTATTGACTTATTTATCATAAATTTGTGAAATCATTTGGATATTGAGAGCTAAAATCATGTTATCCCAAGCCAGAGTCATGTGCTCTCTTGTTCTAGAGTAAACATCACTATGGAATTGACAAATGCCATGCTTTCTAAAGGCCTGCTTGGAAAAATGTTTCAAAGCGGGGCAGGATTGAATTTGGCTTAAACTAGGTTGCAATTGGTTCATGAGAGGGGTGGTGGCAGTGGTGGTTTGAACAGAGAGAGGGGTGGCGGCGGTCGTGGTTTGAAAAAGAACCTGTTTAAACCCAAAGTTTGGCTTGGGCCAAGTCTGGCCCAGTTTTAGACAAACACAGACATAATCAAAAGTGGTTCAGGATCAGTCTTGGCTTAGTGTTGAAGATTTGCTAAATTCACCCTAACGTCTACACAAAATCTGAACCAACCTGTACTTACTTTTTATATTGCCTTCATCCTGTTATTAATATTACTAAGTATTGTTCTGTTCTTTTGACTGTAATACTGTGATTACTATTATGTGATGTTGGAGAGAAATCATGCAGAAATCAGTCAGCTCTACTACACAATCGGCTATGAAGAAACGTAGAAGATCGTGTTTTTAAGGTTAAAAGAGAGTCTAGAACAAATTTATAAACCATGACCCGACTCTTTGGTTAAACTTCTGGCTTTTAGGGTCTGCTTCTTTCAAATTAGTGATACACCATAGGCTGGTTGGTTACTAAAGGACTAATCGTGTAACCACCGAACTTCTCATCTTTAGTTTCATAAAGCTATTAAAAAAACTATCATGAAGTCTAAAGCTCATGGTCGCTATCTGGAACAAATAATGTTAATGGTAATTCTCTGAAAACAGTGAAATTCATAGTAGGTTCTTATAATTTACCCTTGCTATATTCAAATCTTTCTTCAGTTTAAGCCCTTCATTTTATCTACAGAAGCCGTGCCCTTGGCAAGTAAATACTTCATGAGGACCTGTAAGTCTTTTATCATTTCATATAATATTTTTTTTCTGTAGTCAATCAATGCCTCCAGTATATGTGCAATGAATTTTATAGTTGAATGCTTGCAATTAATAAAATTTTGATATGATTCTACTAGAAGCCGTGTCCTAACTTTTGTATTTATTTTTCTTGATAACCACATATCTACTTTTGCATTGCTCATACTTGTGATACAACTCTGGTTACTTGATTTTGATATTGCCATCATTCTCTTTTGTAGACTGGCATTGAGGTTGCTAATCTCTTCCTGACGAGAGGAGAAACGGTACGCAATCTTCTACTTGTAGACACACACACACACACACACACACAGACTAGACACAGAGAGAGATATATGAATATGTGCATGTGCGTTCGTGTCGTAATCATCCTATTTGCAGTGTAGGAGAAATTTCTGTGTTCCCTGTGCTATTTGCATGAAAAATTACTATCCAATAGTGTGAACATTCCTTCATATGCCAAAAAGAATGTCTTTTTACCCTGTGAAATACCATATTACTAAAATAAATTTAGAAAACTACACTGCAAACCTAGCTGCTTGCTTATGTTTTTAATACAATCCAAAATAAATTCGTTGCACATCTGGTATTTTGAATGTCAGTTCAGTGTAGCCCCTTTCTGATACCTGCAAAGAACTACCATTGTCTGTTATTCACCTTCACAACACAGTTCTCTTTGCATATTCCCAATGTCAATTGGCCTTCCTTCATATTGATGTTCTGCCACCAGCTTCTAGTTGTGTGAAAATCACTGATTTTTTTAATGAAGGGAGAAGATTGTATTATACTTTTGAAGTTCATCATAGGGTCCTCTATGACAATCTGGCTAGGATGCCTATTTCAGTTTACGGGAATAAGCTCTTCTAGGTTTACTCTGATATGGTTATGAAATAGTTCTTTGCACGTCATACGTCCTTATTCTTTTGTGGACGATGGACTCATTGATATTAATGCCTATTTCAGTTTAGCTGCATCCCGTCAAAGTTGAGGATGAATTTTGTTCTTAGCTAATTTAGCAGGCTATCAAACAGACTTTTCCTCTTTAGTGGTTATAGTCTATGATCTGTTATTACTTTCATATTGTTTAATATTTTTTGCCAGGTCATCTATACTGTTGGGAGGGACCCACAAGTACAGAAAAGGATTATTGCAGATACTGCGCCTGTGATTACAAATCCTGTCATTGTATGCCCTATTGCCCATAAGTCTTCTAAATTCAACTCTCACAGTTTTGTACAGTGCATGATATTGTTTTGCAAATTGTGTTGCCTGTATCTTTTTCATCTGAAAACTCTAATAAGTTGCTTGTTGCTAAAGTCTTGTATATGAAAACCATAAATCTGTTGTTGGAAAATGACATGCAGTGTTTGCTTTTTTTATTATTATAATATTTAAAGTTTGTTAATTTTTAAGCTTCACATGAGGGGTTTGAAAATATATGCAGTCGATGTTGGTCGTCATAAAATTTTGCATTCCTACCTCAGGCAGAATTTAATACATCAACTTCAAATTTTCTGGGTGCAATTGTGTCTATCAAAACATCTACCTTTTAAAAGTTTTGGTTCATGTCTACACCCTGACAAATTGCAGTTTCTTGTGTTTACTGTATTCTTGTCCCATGTAGACTCGGTTGTGGCAATGACCGACCTTGATGCCCATTCTTGTCTTTCATCTTGAATAAACCTATTGTAGATAGCGAGTCTGTCTTTTACGTTCAGTTATTATTATGAACCATGAGTATGAGGAAAAGCATTTTAAGGTTAAGTATAAATATGGGAATGATAAGTATATTAGATTGTATATACAAGAACATAATATCTATTCAGTGTTCTTGGAGATTCTATTTTATGACAATGCTAAATATATTCTAGAGATTCCCCAGTAGTATTTGTGCAAAATCATGAAATGCTGGCTCTGTGGGAAATTCGTAACAGATAGAGCTTTGGGGACTATATTTACAAGAGCGTTAGGTAATAAGAACTTGTTAAACATGTGAAATAAGCATTTCAATGATGTAAATATTTAGATAAACTAGATGAGCATAACTTTCTCCACCAAAGTTCCTGTTTCAGTGCAATGCTTATCTAAGGCGCGCGCCTCATGTGCCCTGCAATGCTGGGCGGCAGAGAAGCGCTCCGTATCTGATGTGGCAATGACTTTTTATGCCTCATAAGTGCCATGTGCAAGGGCATTTGGCATAGGGCTCATGCAAGGCATAGTCTCATATATTTTTGTTCTTTAAACATTATCGAGACTTTATACCCGATAAGTTATCGATAGTGGATAGCGTCGTTTAGCGGTGAGGTACGACTAAGGCTGTTTGCACCTATAGCGGCAAAATAACAGCAAATAGCAAATAGTCAAATAGCGATCAAATTTGAATATAATTAAATATTCTAAAAATAAGAAAAATTACAGAAAACAAAAAAATGCTACAAATGCATATTTGATGATTTATAGAGATCCTAAGCATAAAATATATGTGTAACAATTGCATAATATTAACAAAGTACTATAAAGAATAAAAAAACATACTTTATCAAAAAGACCGTTATTTGTTCCATTCCTTCAACTTTCAAGTATCTAATACAAAAATTCTCAACAATCGAAAACCATTGATTAGTAAAGCCATCATTATAATAACTATTCAAAACTTGACGTAAAAATAGAATCTTCAAGCATAGATAAATGAGCAAAGCAAGATAATGTCATATTAGATAATAACAGACTATAGAGGGAGAGAACCGGGGGGGGACTGGCGGCTAGGGTTTTTCTCTTTTGTGGCTGCGAATGAGAGAGAGAGAGAGATCTAGTAGGGGTTTAATGATAAAACGGGTTGGTAGGGTAGAATATAAAAGCTATCCACTAAATAAAAGTAGGTTTTAGCAGTTAAAAGCGCTAAAAACTAGCTATGACTTGCAATCACGAGCAAATAGCAGTTTTGGCTGCTATTTGCTACCGCTTTCGCTGATAGCATAGCGATAGCCCGCGCTAATGCTATGAAAACTGATTTAGCAGTGCTATGCATCACTATTTACAATAGTGGTACCCGATAGCCCATGTGTGCCAAAAAGAAAAATAAAGCCATTAGGCCATTTTAGTAGCTCAACTGAGGACCCTAACTCATTCTTCTTTACTAGTTGATTTTACTTCGATATTACTTTTGATTTGGCCTTTGAATCGGAAAACTATGAACTTTACTACTATGGTTGGTGCTATCCCGTAGGTGTGATGCCTTGAAATTTACCTGAACCTTTCGTCTCTTGATTATCCTTCTCCTCATCAATCCCAACTCATCTTCCCTCCAAAAGAATCCCCAACATTCAGCTAAAAAAAATGTCACTGGTCACATATGCCTTCATTTGTGTTCATTGTCCATCTTCCCGTTGGATCTTGCATCCTTATTCATCGTTGTCAGATTCCCCTTTGCTGCCAATTCGAAATTATGTCAAGATTGAAGCCCTCGCTCCATTCCCTATCACACTATGTGGTTTTTTTTCCGTAATGAATGGAAGATAAATATATTTGTTGCTATGAAACAGATGTGGCACTTAAATAACTATAAATTATTATTATCAAATGTACATTTCTCCTTAATAAGAGATACAGAGCGAAGGTATAAATTCAAGTTGTTTCAAAGAATATCAACAAGTATCCGGGAGCAGCATGGTGGCATTCTTTAAGACCTAAAATTATGCCAGTAGAGAAATTTTGACTGCTTTAATGGTTCAAGCATGTAACTAAAGAGAATAAAGCAATGCTCAATTGCTTCTGCTCCTCAACCGAGCTCCTCATCCTTTAACTTTTTCCTCAAGCTTTCGCTACCCGTGACGTCAAGAACCATGTTTCCTCTCCGTCGTCTCAACATAACATTTTCAAAAATTCCTAAACTGCCAATGTCTTCTATCTGTTCATTTTCTATTTTCTCTCATTAATCCATGAATCATGGTTCCAACTTTCATCCCCTTGCTCAACTGCTGCATGTCTCCCTCATAGCCGACCTCTCCTCCTTCACCTCGTCGCTTTCCACTGCTTACCTTCACCTTTGGGTCTCGTCAGAGTGGGCTAGTGTGGGGCAAGAACGGAGGTGCACGCGAGGGGAGGTGACATGATGTAGCGGTTGAGAAAGGTGGACAGAGTTGTTATTCTATGTTTTTGTGCATGATTGTCACCCTTTATATTAAAAAATTACAATTTTTTTTTAAAAATTTTACAAATACATATTTGATGATTTATAGAGATCCTAAATATGAAATAGACATGTAACAATTATACAATATAACAAAGTGTTGTATAAAATGAAAAGATGTGTTTGTTTATTAAAAAATTGTTAATTGTCCTATTCTTTCAACTTTTAAGTTCTTTTGTAGAGTAGAGTTTTGCTGGGCTTCATTGAGGTGTGTCAGTAGGTTTTGTCGAGGTGATGGAGGGCTGCTAGAAATGAAACTCAGTCAAAAGGAGGCGCTGGAGAGCTTCGTAGATGGGAGGACTTGGAGCTTCGATGCTGTGGTGAGGTGGATAGCAAGGGGGAGATCAAGAGAGATGAAAGGAGGTGGCACCACAATTTATTTCTAGTTTTTTGTTCTAGATAGACAGAGATGAGAGGAAGAGAGAGAATTAGGAGATTAGACGTTTATTAAGTAAAGCAGGTTTAAAGTGGGTTGGATTCAGGTCATCTATGAAGCACGGACACGTGCACGGCGACACGGACACGACACGGACACGGATACGGCAAAACCCCAAAAAATAGGATACGGCGACACGGCTAGATTTTTTAATTTTCACTACTTTCATCTTGAGCATATAAAATACAAGAGAATAAAGTTCAATTTGCAACTAGTTCAATGACTACAAAATACTAAGTTACTAACATTGCAAAAATATAAAAATTACACTCAAAAGCATATCTTAAAATAAAGTTTTCAAGTTGAAACATCAAAAAGATTATTCTATGGATTCAACTCTTTCATCCTCATCAAACACAATGGCCTCCATCGTGGGCTCGTCAAGAGAAAGGGCAGCAACATCTAACATGCCGGCTCCTTGAAATGAGTCGAAGGCATCTCCACTAATATCCCACATTCTTGATTCCCCTTCCATATACTCTTCCGAATTCCGAGAAAGTAAACGAAGGTTAGTGTGAACATAAACAAGATCCTCCGCCCGTGTCGGGGTTAGCTTGTTCCTCTTTAAGGAGTGAATGAAACCATACATACTCCAATTCCGTTCACAACAAGAAGAGGAACAAGGTTGGCCTAGAAGCTTTATAGCTAATGCTTGCAAATTTGGAGCACTTGCACTATAAAGAAGCCACCATGACTTTGGATCCATATGTCCTCTATCGGAAAGAGAATCCGGATCACCAAAAGCCTCCAAAGACCCCACAAACTTAGCATATTCCAAGTTCACCACCAATCGTTCATCGGGGTTAGGATAATATCTTCTTAAGCACTTTGATCTTTCTGTAGAGATCTCAAGATCTTGATTTGGAGGTTGCCGATTGACGTTCTCATTGAGCCATGTGGAATGATAGTACCTATGTTTGTGAGAAGAAATTCATGTATTAAAATTAATTGAAATATTCGCATTAAAGAGTAAAATGTGAAATATTACCTTGGAACTAAAGAGTGTGCCAAGCACTGAAGCGGGGTGTTGCCCTTGTTCCATCGATCCACCAAGATCTTGTGAACCACCTCATAAAAAGGAGATTCCTCGTTATCCCTTTTACCCTCATGCCTGTAAATAGCTTGCTTCACCTTCTCAATCATTGTATCCCACATATCATACACCAAATGAAGACATGGTGTATCGGTGTCGGTGACCCTTATCATTTCATAGATTGGGCCGGTGAAGTCAAGAATAAAATCTATCTTGTCCCACCACAAATCATCGAGGACTTTCTCTTTCACAAATTGAGCTTTCTCCACATCATCGTCTCTATATAAGCTCCATCGATCACTAAGGACCATGTCTTGGAGGCCTCTCTTGACGACCTTAAACCTCTTCAACATAATAATCCACGAGGCAAATCTTGTGTCGGCAATTGATAGGAGCTTCATCTTGGAAAAATCATTGAATATGGAAAGCCGCATAGAGTGGTTCATGATAAAATTCTTCATAAACAATGCATCATCGGAGATCTCTGTAATCCAATGTAATTGTGCATAAGCCACGGCATTTGCTTC